TGGACAGTGTAATCTTCGTAAGTGAACTGAGGACTTGCGACATCCACATTCTCCCCAGATGTGTAGGAGGCCGCTAGCAAGGCGGCCGAATCTGGCGAAGTGAGAGGTGAAGTCGCCTCACCTCCCACGCAGCTCAGTTTCCTGAGTTGATTCGAGGTCGAACATCCTCCTTGCCTTGATCCTGGCATTGGGAGGTCTTGTGCTTGGTGTTGTTGCACCAATAGCAGCAGCCATACCAGCTGCGCCACTTGTATTCGGCCTCGGTCAAGTTAAACTTGACCCATGGTACTGGCTGTCCGTTTCCGGTCGGCGATGCAGTTTTCGCCCTCCCTTTTCCACGGGAGTTGTTGTTGCTTCGCGGCTGGACAGCGGCCACCTGATCTCCCTCACGTGATGTTGGGTTGGCTGCCGGGTCTTCCACAATGATGTCCGGTTGGACTGCAACGACTTGTTGCAGACGCGGACCAAATTTTCCTTTCTCCACATGGGCTGGCTGCCACGCTGACTTCTCGTGTGCAGCAGTCCGGTTGGTCTTGATGATCACTCGCGCCTTGTCGATGATTTCGACGAAGGTTGTGTACTGCTCGCAATCACCAAGTGCGAGGCTCAAGGCGGCACACGACCGGTTGTAGAACTCCCGACGCAGATGCAGAAATGGTAAGTCGAGATCGGGTGTTGCGACGATTTTTTGCCACTTTGTGAGCCAGTCACGTGTTGGTGTGTTGCCTCGAGTCATGATGAAAAGGCGATTATGGCGAGCGTCGGGGCATCGTCAACGATGAGCCGCTTCTTTCATTGTCTCGTCAGATCTTCCCAAGAGATCTTCTTGTGCACACGACCGGTTGTAGAACTCCCGGCGCAGATGCAAAAATGGTAAGTCGAGATCGGGCGTTGCCACGATCTTTTGCCACTCCGTGAGCCAGTCACGTGTTGGTGTGTTGCCTTGAGTCATGATGAAGAGGCGGTTATGGCGAGCGTCAGGGCGTCGTCAACGATGAACCGCTTCTTCCATTGTGTCGTCAGATCTTCCCAAGAGATCTTCTTGTGTAGATCGGCGACCTGGACGCCGTGGATGGTTGCCAGGTGGCTGAGCCAGATCTRGCATCCGCCCTTTGAGTTGAGGAACAGCGCCCCGATGTACGAGTGCTCAGGGGCGTGTCGAATCCGAAGTTCTGTCGTAAAGCCCTCCCACCAGGGGACTGGGTCTTGATGCGTATAGTCATCAAACTTTTCGATCCGGAATATCGGCATTTTGTAATGCTGCGGACTGGTGGCTGGTGCGGCAAAGGTGCTGATGTCGCCGAGCATTGCGACCACATGGTCAACTCGTTCCTCCAATTGGCGGGTTGAGGCTGCCCTGCTGGGTTCGCCAGCATCTGATCCTGGTGCTGCTTGCTCCAAGTCCTGAACACAGGAATTGAGTGCCTGTGTGGCATCCTCGTGCAGATCCTTGTGGTTCTACACTGCCCGTCGGAGATTCGTCAGTTCCTGGCGCTGTTTCTCTAACTCGGACTTCAGGTGGTTACAAGTGTAAACCAACCGGGTCATGAGTTTGGAGAGGAACTCCTTGTGCTGCTCTTCCGGTGTTGCGTCGTCATGGCCCTCAGATGGTTCAAAATGCCAGAACTTGAGCTTGTCGACGCTGGCGGCTTCGTGCCGCTGCAGCAGATCCTGGGCCTCCTTGCGGCGGGCCTGGGCATCTGCGTCAGCATCGGCCTGAATCCGCTGCTTTTCAGCTGCTGCCACTGCTTCAGCCTGTAGGCGGGCAGCCTCGGCTGCCGCCTGGCGCTGTTCCTCAGCCTCGATTAGTGCGAGCTGAGCTTGGAACCGCTGTCAGTACTCGGCAATGGACTCGTTGGCCAGTTGGCCTGGCATGCTCAAAGCTGAAACCGTCATGGTGGCGAGGCACTGCTGACGTTGGTACTGCTGCTGTCGTGGCACTGCTGACGTGGCACTGTTGCTGACGTGGCACTGTTGCTGACGTGGCACTGCTACTGACATGGCACTGCTGACGTGGCACTGCTGCTGATGTGGCACTGCTGACGTGGCACTTACCAAACTGGGAATGCAGGCAAAGGGTTGGGTGGGAGGGAAAACGCAGGAAGATAACCAACTAAACTGCACTTTCCTCCCGGTCCTAATCAACAGAATAAAAATAAAAATAAAAGAAGAGGATCACCGCCATGGTAACCGCGGACCCGGACACTGGACACTTCCGGACTGTCTTCTGGACCAGTCCCCGGGGTGCAAAAATGTCCGGACCCAAAAAAAAAAACGGGGGGAGGTTGGGTGGGGGTGTTGGCAGGCACTTACCTGCTTTGCACTCTGTAGTTCAGGCAGCAGAGCACGTGTCTTGCAGCAAATCAACCAGCACATTTAACCAGCAGACATGCAGAGTTGCAAACAGTGCAAAGCGGGCACAAGACTAAAGAAACAGAGAATTAAAAAAAAAAAAAAAAGTATGATTAACTTTGAACTTTGAACTTTGGATTTAGTAATTTAAGTTCATAACTTCACATATAACTCAAAAGTTCGAGCTTTGCAGTTCAATTCAGAACCTCAGAGTCTTCAGACTGGCAGCACTGTCAGTGCTCTCTCTCTCTCTCTCTCTCTCTCTCTCTCTCTCTCTCTCTCTCTCTCTCTCTCTCCTCCCCCCCCTAACGGGCAGGAGTGGCGGCCGCCGCGTCGAAACGGCCGCTTTGAAATTGCTCGGGCCTGTGCGAAACCCGCCACCTCAAAAACCTGCAGTGTCTTGTGTGACCTCTAGGCCATGTCCGGTGGGGTGAAAGGACACTTGAAAATCACCCTGTTATTTTTTGAGGGGCGGCTAGGACCCGACAAACGTCCTGGGTCGCCTCATTTTTTTTTTTGATTTTTGCCCCAGGGGCCTCCATCCAGACATGGGGACCGGACACCGGACACCAGACACCGGACACCGGACTGTCTGGAACCCGGTTCGGACGTCCGGGCGGTTACCATGATCACCGCCCCCCCCTTTTTTTTCTTTTTTTTTTGTATATCTGTCGATCTGCTATGAGTGAGGCATTTCAGAGGAGTACTATGAGCGAGATCTAGGCAAGGTTTGAGTGAGGCATTTCAGAGGAGTACTATGAGTGAGATCTAGGCAAGGTTTCGCAAAGGTTCGGCTTTCAAAAAAAATGCGATCTTGATTTTTTTTTTTTGCACAAAATAGACTGGAGGTTCCACTTCCAGAGAAGAATATATTCAGTCCGAGAATATGACAACCTCCCTAGTTCACCTAATATTCCCAGAGTAAAACAGAAAACGAAATACTAATATCCGAAGTTGCAAAAAAGAGAATTTTTTTTGCAGAGATTTGACGAAGTCCTACTTGATTCACTAATCAACAATCAATTAATCAATCAATCAATCAATCAATCAATCAATCAATCAACAATCAGTCGATCAAGCAAGCTGGCTCCTTGATTGGGCGGATCCTCTGATTGAGAGGTCCGCTCCAATACCAAACTGTCGCATACCGTAAAGGTGCAGACCAGAACAAGAACCGACCTTTCTCACATAGTGCAAGATAGCGCAGCGGAAGGCTAATATACCAACAATCCGACCAATCAATGTCGCAATGCAGACCAAACATACATCATCATCATCGCATGGTGTGAAGGGACCTGGCGCTCACACAGGAAGAAGGTGCCAGTCCCACACATACACAGACGGAGAGGAGGGGGATTAGACGAAGAAGAGGGGAAGATGGGAATGTCGTCAACACCAAGTCTTCGTTACAGGTCCCAAATAATCCCTCGTCCAATGTCTCAATCCCAATGTCGAGTCTGAACCCAAATGTCGTCAAGTCCCAAAGTCCCCAATCTCTCTCTCTCTCTCGTAGTCTGCAGATACTGAGAAGTCAGGTGGCGAGAGGGTGAGGGAGAGATGGTGGACTTAGAAGAGGAAGAAGAAGAACTCTCTCTCTCTTTCGTAGTCCGGTACTAACCTGTGAAGGTGGCGCCCTGTTGCAGGTACATCGAAGATGAAGCTGGAGCTATGGCGCGACAGGTAAGTCTCCCTGGCCTCCACCAACTCTCTCTCTCTCTCTCTCTCTCCAACGCTACTCTAGCTCCTACCAGCGCCCAGGGCTGAAGACTACTCCTAACGCTACTGCTACTACTGCAGCGCTCCTCCAGAGTGCTGCTGCCGAATCCTCAAGACTGCCTCCTGCCTCCTGCAGGTGAAGTGCCCGTGAACTGCCTGGGAAGTCCCTATGAGCTACCTGCAGCCTGCAGGGCGGGCCAGTTCTATATAGTGCTGGCCCGTCCGGGAGGCTGCTCTTGCCAATGCTGAAACGTGCCAGACCCTGGCGTTGAAGTTCAGACAAAGGTTGTCTTGAAACAGGCCCAAAAATGGCGTGTGCTAAACCCTGGTCTGGCGCCTGAGTCTCAGGGCAGGTCGACTTTATGAGGGCCTGCAAATGGCCCTCGTTTTCAGGCTTTCAGGCTGAAACGACACAGGGCCTGTAGGGCCCTTATTTTTCGTCTGGTCGGGCCCTGCAGGCCCGTGTGGCTGCGCAGTATGCCACACCGCCACTGGTGCTCTCACCGCTGCAACCCTCAATGTCACGGCCACAGGTAAGTACCGGCCCTTTGGGCCTTCCACACAGACAAGTACCCTTGCGGGTCAAACACACACTCAAACCGACAAGCACTCAGACAGGCATGCAGAGCAGCAAGCACGCACACACTCAGACTTAGAAAACTCGGCAACGAGGGGGAAACTCAGCAAGGCATACATTCCATTGGCAAAACTTAGCAGCAAGCACGCACACACTCAGACTCAGAAAACTTGGCAACAAGCGGGAAACTCAGCAAGGCATACATTCCATTGGCAAAACTCAGAAATCAGCTGTGTGTCTCAGTCCGTGTTTGGCAGGTCCTAACATCTCTGTTTTTCCCTTCTTCTTCTTCTTCTTCTTCTTTTCCAAGGATCTTCTGACCTGTATTTTCATGATGCTAAAGAGTCCATCCCACCTCAAAATCTGCTGGAAATCCATCAAGGTCACGGACAGCAAACCCAAGAACACGCTCTCCAGCTTGGGCCATAGTTATAGTGGCATATGCAAAGCCTTCTCTTAGATCTTCATCCAGTGGTCGACGCTTTCCGTTGACCATCAAGTGTCTGCATTTATCAAACACTCGCTCTGGTGCTCCCTTCATCATCAGTACAGGCGGCTTTGCTCTGTCTTCATTCCTTTGCGCATCCAATAGTAAAAATACAATCAACAGAAGTGTCAAAAAAATGCTGAAAGAGAAAATGTTAGGAACAGGATACCGTCACCCTGTTTCCCTTTTTTATTTTATTTTTTTTCAGTCCGGTTCCTATTCCACCGGCAAGTCAAAATATGATACATCACTGCAAAACAACTCACGCTTCCTCCCGTCCAGCCGGAGGACCCCTGAACAGCATTGATTACTCCACTCTGGGTGGAGGACTGACTGTCAGCTTGCCTAGAGTCCCTCTTCCCTCTCAGACCTACTTTCGCAACTCTGCCACTTGTGACTATTGTGCCTAGAAAGAGATCCTCCCATGCTGCTGTATGCCCATGCTGACCCTCACACCCATCCCACCCTGTTTCCCTTTTTCTGTTTCTTTTCTTCTCTTTTTTCCCAAAGAAACCTCTGGAACAAAGGGCCGAATCTCGACAGACCGCAACAACAAGGCCGCTCCACTGCTTACAATGCCCCATTCCCTGTCTAAGTCATCTGCAAAGGGGTTTGAGTCCCCGAGCGAAAGAAATTGCAATGAAGAGAATCCCCACACAATGGCGCTCCACTGCGGGAGGGACAACTACGAACTTGGCTGTTGGGGCCAGATGGGCTTCCTCATCATAATGTTATTGTCTGCAGCAATTCAAAAACAGTTAGAAGCATGACTTCAAGGAAGAATGGAGGACAGCACTGGCAAGTGCTGAGAGTCACAGACTCCCTCAATTATCATGACACGGCCCATCCACTTACACATTCATATGCACAAACTACGGCTGTAAGGAGAGTTTCCCACTCGTAAACACAACCGTAGAGACCATGGCTTCATCCGAAAAGACAAGCTCATCTGCGAAAAACATGGTGGGAGCATGGAACTTCATCATGACAAGTATCTCCTTACGTTTTTTCTGCTGACTTCCATGGCACTGACACAAATGACCGCTGCAAGGAGAATCCCTCATTTGTGAAGGCACCTGTAGAAACCATGGTCGCATCAAACAAGACACGCTCATCTGCAACAACATGGCTGAAGCATTGAATTTTGGTTGTCGTGACTCCTGACAAGTACTTCCTCACAATTATGCTGCCTCCCATAGCAGTGAACACAGTTGCTAGTACTTGCTACAGAGTTTTACAAATGCGTCTGTTGCACTGTGGGCAAACACTGAAGATGAAATCTTTTTTTTTTTTTTGCAATCAAGCTCCCTTTTAACATTCCAAAGATAGATCGAGGCCGGTGACCTCACAAATCAACCCGGGGTTATCCTGGGACCCTTACCCAGTTTCGCTTACGAGCCTCCGCTCGAGACAGAAAAAATGTCCGTCCCAGACTTTCATCTCAGAAACATCCCAATGTCTCCTACCAAAAACCTTTCTTCCCTATACTACTAAAGGAAACAGCAGTCCTCGCGTGGTGCCCAACAGAAACCGGGCACCTCCGTGCGGGACCGGTAATGGCCAGCGGCCAAGGGGGAACCGATGGAGCCAACTGCGGGACGGGCGGGGCCAGGTATGATGCGCGCCGACGCGAAACAGCGTAGCGGGAAAAAGGGCAGGGCCTGGCAGCCACGGGTTTGGAGACTGCGGAACCAGAGGCAGGCGCGAGGGGACGTGCAAAGACCAACGGAGTGACGGGTGCACAAGGGAGGACATCAAACGGCGAGACCTGAAGGGGGACGCAGATTGTGTGTGTGTGTGTGTGTGTGTGTGTGTGTGTGTGTGTGTGTGTGTGTG